ATTTTCTAAAAAAAAAAAAGAATAGATGGTCAATCGAAAGTTAGGTACAAGTTCAAGGGGCAAATCACTAGTATACCCTTACAAATTTACCAACTAGCTCTTTCTTTTTCCTTTTTTCTTTTGGTCTGAATACCAACTATTAAATAAAAAATAAATGCTTTTTTCTATTGGACCAATCCTTTGGTGTGCTCCCAACAAAAGTGGCCAAAAATAAAAATAATTTTTTATAACATATATTCCTTTTCCATTATTCAATTTGAAATTTATTTTTGGGAGGAATTAAATTTCAAATTATATTCCCAGCCAAATTTGAAAAAGTTTAATTTGTTTTTAAGCCATATTTTCCTGTTACACATGTTCTTGTTACCCTACTTTGTATCTGTGTGTTTCCATAATGATGAAGTTAAATGCAAATTCTTCTATGCTCCAGGCTTAGGCCACTAATTTAACGCATGCTTTGAATTTTGATATGGGCAAAAAGATTTAGTTTCAGATATTTGGAAATTAAAGGAGACAGCATTCAGACTTGCGATATTGAGAAGAATTAATTTAAACTTTTTCCTCCAAAAAGTGTTTCATGAGTTAAATTTATAAGATATTACATCGCCTTCCTCCCCTAGAGAGAGATGCGGATGAGAATCCTTTCAGGCTCGTAATAGCATTCATATGAAAGCAAAAACAACAGTTAATAGCTAGCTAGTAACTATTTGATAAAACCCGGCAAATTATGTAACCATGGTTGAAGAAAGGAACACATTAAAGGAGAACTGGTTTGGATGAAAATAGATGAAGAGAAATGTAGATGCTACAGATGTTCTATCAAAAACCATATCCACACTCTAACCAGAGTGATATAAAAGCTCAAGTTGATTTGTAAGTGATAATAGGGGGACAGACTAGTCTTGAAAGAACCAGAAAAAACAGAAGAAAATGACCAACACCCTCTCCTCTCTATGGAAGATACTTCTAGTTCAGCCTCTGTGCGGCTTCCTTTGCTAAGAGCTTCTCCTTCGCCTTGGTCCTGGCCTGTGATTTCGAGCCCATGATACCACCTCCCCACTTCTTTCTGTACTCATCGTACTTGTC